AGTTATAGTCATGGGTGATATGAACATTGACCTGGCAAAGGAGTCCTTCCTTGTTCGGAAGTACTTAGCTATCATGACTTCACATGGTTTATCCAACATAGTCAGAAGCTTCACCAGAGAAGCACTTCATTCCAAAACTTTAATCGATCACATTTTCACAAACTGTATTAGCCTTGAAAGTGAGGTAGTCATCTCGACACTATCGGATCACTACGCGCAAACTGTTAAAATACCTTTTCCTAAACGTAGGAAACCTCCAGGTGGGAAAACTATAGTCTACAGGCAATTTAATGACTGTAATAAGATGGTCTTCAGGCACCTTCTTTCTAAGGAGACTTGGACAGATATGCTGGCTACAGATGATCTTGATGAAAAATTTGAGGGCTTCTACGATCAACTAAAATACCTTTTTGATATATCCTTTCAAAAAATAACAAAAAAGATAAAAGAACCTTGTCAAAAGAAACTTTCCTTGAGCAACGATTTGATGATGATCAAGGACAAACTCTTTGATCTGTACAATACGACAAAGAATTTCGATTCTGAACATCCTCTGAGGCAATATTATAATAACCTAAAAAAATATTATCGCAAGGCTATAAAAGATCGAAAATCCTGTGAGATTCTGAAGAAAATTAATTCTTCGGGAAATAAGTCAAAGGCAATATGGGATATAATCAATAGTAATAAAGCACCTAATAAGGGAATGCCAAACGACATTAGCTTGGTAAAAAACGATGGCAAAATTGCCAGACAGCCTCAGGAGATTTCGGAATTGTTCAACTCTTACTTTACCCTTGCGCTCCGCGATCAACTGTTCAATTCCCAAACATTCCACGTCCTTTTTTAATTGTTCAACTCTTACTTTATCGAAATCACACAAACCTCTGGTACTTCAACCGATTCCATGCGTTCTGATCCGATGCAGTTACCAGTAGTTAGAGACTCGCTGTTCCTCTATCCAACATCTGACACTGAGATAAAGGGAATTATCCAAGAACTGGCAAACAAGAAGACATCGGGGGAAGATGAAATCTCACCTGTTCTCTTAAAGGAGGTTTCCGATCTACTGGCAAGTCCTTTGTCCATCCTTATCAACCATTCTTTTGTTCACGGACATTTCCCAAGTGCTCTAAAATTAGCAGTTGTTAGGCCAGTCTTCAAATCAGGAAGCCGTAAGGAATGTAGCAACTATAGGCCAATTTCAATCTTATCCTCTTTGTCAAAAATCTATGAGAAAGCAGTTTTGACCAGGCTGTGGAACTTTTTGTTGGTCAACAAAACCCTCTTCGAAGATCAGCATGGATTTGTAAAGAGCAGAAGCACCTCAAGTGCAATTTTCTCCTTGGTCAACAACATAGTCATGCAACTGGACGCCAAAAACCATTCTTCGGGCGTGTTCTTCGACCTAAGTAAAGCTTTTGACTTGGTTGACCATGACCTGCTGCTGAATAAACTCGAAGCATTGGGCGTCAGAGGTGTGACCTTGGATTGGTTTTCAACCTTTCTTAAAGGAAGGAAACAGGTCGTTGAGATACCAGCTACCGATAGTGATGGATGTGTGAGGCATTTCAGGTCCTCCGTGGCTACCTCAGGTACCTCAGGGGTCTGTCCTCGGTCCAATTCTGTTTCTTCTGTTTATCAACGACCTTCCCTCATGCACAAACGCCAAGGTCTGCTTGTTTGCAGACGACACCTCTTTGACACTCGCTAGTCCTTCTTTAGCTGAACTTGAACAAAGAACCTACATTGAAGCCAACAAGCTCATTCAGTGGTTTGACGTCAACAGGTTGAAAATAAATACATCAAAAACCCAGTTTTTAAATTTCCGTATCTCGAACCGTTCAATCCATGACTCTTCTTTATCAATTCTCTTGAATCAAACGTTGGTTCAGCCAACAGAATCAGTGAAATTTCTTGGGTTGTACCTAGATCAACATCTAAAGTTTTATCAACATGTTGACTACGTCATGGGCAGGGTTAGTAGAGGCCTCTTCGTCCTGCGTACTTTATCCAGAACTGCTAATACTGATGTCCTTCTTTCAGCCTACTATGGGTTGATATATCCTTTTCTTTCATATGCTCTGCCGATTTGGGGTGCTGAAAATCAAAGAACACTTTTCTTGTTTAGGCTTCAGAAGAACGCAGTAAGAACCATTTTCTCTCTCCCACGTCGCCATTCTTGCAAGGAGGTTTTCAGCTCATCTGGAATTTTAACCTTTCCCTCCATCTATATTCTTGAGACGCTGTCATTTGTCAGGCAAAACCTTTCCAGGTTTCAAGTCGACTCTCACTCCTTCATTTATCCCTTGCGCTCCGCGATCAACTGTTCAATTCCCAAACATTCCACGTCCTTTTTTAAACGTCACCTCTTGTACAACGGAATTAAACTTTTCAATAGCCTACCCATTGATCTCAAGTTGGAGAAAGACCACCTTCGATTCAAGAGAAAAATTAAGTCCTTGTTGCTTTCCAAATGCTGCTACAGCGTCCGTGAATTTCTGGCTGGTGGTTAAAGATTTATTTTCCTTTAATTTTATTTATTGTATAAGGGTATGCATTTTAAGTTGCTGATTTGTATTCAGTATATTGTATTGAATTATATTGACATAGCTAATGCAAATTGTATTTGTTAATTTGGCAAATAAATGACTTATTGACTTATTATTTAACGAGTATCTAGGTTATGCTGCTACAGGGAGGGTTACGAAGTGTGATTTTAGGAAAATACCTTATATTTTAGCTTATTATAGAAAAAATAAATCTGCCAAATTTGATAAAAATATATCCAAAAGGAATTACAGAATTTTGTCAGCTGTTTTTTACTGCACAAGTTAATTCTCTGATATTAAATAGCATTAACAGGTTTTAAGGTTTACCTAAGTTACCGGGTGCAGCACTATTATTTTTTGCATTTATGACAACAGCTAATTTGAACCAACTAGCAACAGAAAGCTGTGGTACACAATGAGACCTTTACTTGTTTCTATGGTTCAAGGGGCAGTGGTAGAACAAAAGAAACAAACTTTCTTAAACCATGTCCTCACCCATAACTGCAATAAGCATTTTATACTTATATGCCAACCCCGTACGAAGGACGGGTACTCTGCTAGTCCATGATAAAAGGAAGGTTAGATAAAAATAAACCTACCTCATAGTTATGGAAAATATTGAATTTAATTTCTTTGTATCAGCTGTCTGAAATTGTGAAATATAGTTTAACGAGTACTTAGGTTTGTTGCAACAGGAAGGGTAAAAAGGTGGTTTTTTTATGTTAATAGTTTAGTAAGAAATGAATGTATTTTCCAAATTCGATCAAAATATGTTCATAAACAAGCAAACTACAACAGTTGACTTATTCTCCGTAAGAATAACATATGGATTTTAAATTTACAGTTTTTTTTTTTATTTTCTCCGTAACCATTAACGCACAATAACGCTTCAATATACTAAATTGTTTGTTTTTTATGCTCTACAAAATGGTTGGAAAAGAAATTGTAAAATTTTGTGTTTTTAGGGTCAAAATAGGGAAAACCTATATTTACCCCATAAAACCCCCCATAAACCCCCGTTCCCATAGTCCGATCATGCTGGGTCGCGAACTCGTTTGTATAAATGTAGGTTTACACGTTCATACCAAATTTTATCAAAATCGGATCATTGCTCGAGTTATCGTGCTAACGGACACACACACACACACACACACACACACATATATATATATATACATAAATATATATATAAATGTATAGATATGCTAGAAGCTGTTGAGAGTGCAAAATTTATACACATATATATATACAAATATATATATATGAATTTGAACGGATGGTGTTTTTGGCCCAAAACGAACAAATAAATCGGTCGAGGGTCCAGGTCTTATCATGAGTACTACGGTAATAGCTTATTCCCTATATGGGAAATTCGCTAAATCTTACAAAGGGTCGAAAGAACTGGAAATAAATTAGTGTAGTAGCCTACTCACATTCCAAATTTAATCAAAATCAGACCACAGTTTTAGTGGGTCTATAGAAGTCCACATGCACACACATTAATTAAATAATCAAACGTTTATTTCAATTGCAACCTCAATCTCGTAATTTATTTCAAAATCGATGCTTCCTCCTTATACTTTGTATAGGAGGACAAAGTGAAAGAAGATGGGAGGTTTAAGATATAATGAGAATAACCAGAACTTTTTGTTCCGTCGTAGATGTTGTCTTTTAATGCATTTGGCTTCATACAACAATTTAACATTACAATTCCTAATATATACTGTGTTTAAGATGTTGTTTGTGTTTGTGGAAAATGCAGAATGCACAGACGACTCCATGTGTACAACAGACAAGGCCTGTATTAGTCACAAGTGTGTAGATCCTTGTCTGGACAATAATTGTGGCCTCAATACTGTGTGTAGAGTGGTCAACCATCAACCAATGTGTGCTTGCCTCAAAGGATTCTTCTACACTCTAGAAAAAGGCTGCCTTCCTGAGTGTAAGAAAATATTTGAACTGCTAAAATAGAACTTTAACAATTGTGCTCGATTTAAGATGTAGGATAATGTATATACTAGATTTTAAGGGGAAAGTGTTAAGGAATGTTTATTGAGTAAGCTTAAGGAGTGTTAAATAATAACTTAATATGCAAACTGCACAAGGCATTTGCTTTAGGTAGAGTAGACCTATGTTAGATGAGAGACATAATTGGCGGTAGTGATGAGGTAGGTTTGAGTATAGTGAGCTTTAGCTACGTTGAACATATCTCTTTTTGCTGTCACATACAGGATGCTGGTATATTTATCTAACTTGTTAAATGGCTCCAATATATTATTGGATTCATCTTATGTTGTCACGTTGATAGGATGTCAGAGCAGAAAGTGTCGGAAGGCTTCCATCCCCCAACAGTTCTAGTAGCGTATTTTTCTTATGTCGTAACTAGGATCTAAAGGCGACCTAATGCATGCTGGATGGTTTCATATTTGTAATCTTCTTGTGTCACAGGGATTCCAGAATGCCAGAGTCACGCTCATTGCCCGGAGGACCGCTCATGTCGTCTGCAGAGGTGTGTAGATCCTTGTGAAGACGGCGTGTGTGGCAATAACACAGAATGTCACGTCAAGAACCATTATCCTGTGTGTTCACGTAAAGTTGGTTACATAGGAGATGCCTACAATGAATGTGTAACTCACTGTGAGTATAATAGAGTTGTTACGACTCATCAAAATTCTCATTGAAGCTATACAGAGGTTCGTGTATTTCACAGGGGGTGAAATAGTTTTACTATGTCAGTGTTACAAGATCAGTTATTTTTTTGGACCGGGTTACGGGGTAATGTAGCAAGCTACTAGCAATGAATGTCACCTGTATCTATAATCTAAACTTCCCCTCTACACTCACTGAACAGTACTATGTGAGTACTATACTATCGTTATGTAATATTTTGTGAGAACTATGTTTTAGAACAGAACCGATGGTGAAGTAAGTATTTTTCTATAGTTTGGTCTGCCCCATGACCATAATGTTTCCCGAAATCAACGGATGGTGCCAGTGAAAATGATCTGTAATTGTGAGGCGAGTGTGTTTATTGCCTATGGACTTTCTCAAAGGTTTGTGTTCGTCATGAACATGTAAACATAGAAAACCATCATAAGAATAAAACATTCTGTTATTGGCTGTGTGCTGTGTGCACTTCATTCAAAACTCACTGTCATCTTAGCTGTCTCCTTCCAGGTTAATTATTACCACAGATGTACAATATATTTTAATGGTACAGTTTTAATATAATTGTCATTAAACTTTCTACAACTGGACTTTTGAGACAATTTAGTTGTGAATCCAATCATTGCAATTTTACAGACAGTTCAATTATAGCAGTTTCAATGATCCAGAAGTCAGTGTAGTTTTCAAGGATCCATTCAAAGCAAGAGTTGCAGTCAATTTAGTAGTTTTAGATCAAAATTAATTAAATTTAAAATGGGTGACACTGTTGCAGGTTCAATTGACAATGAGGAAAACATCCAAAAGCCAATTCAAACGAAAAAAACCTTCTTACTTGTCGAAGAAAAGGTCAGTGTGATAAACCTTAAAAATAAATACCCCCGCCCTAGCAAACCTGCCGTCTAAGCGAATTTCCATTTGGCTGAATTGATTTTCAATTGATCTATTTAAATAAGGTTTAACGAGTACCTAGGTTTACTGCTACAAGGAAACTAATAAAGTGTGTGTTTTAAGTAAAATAATTATTGCTTAGTATAAAATAAATATATATTTGCAAAGTTTGTTCAAAAGATATCCATAAACAAGCAAACTACAACATTTTACAATATTCTCCATAAGAATAACATGGGAATTTTAAATTTACCATTTTTTTAGTTTTCTCCGTAATCAATAACCGTACAAAAACACTTTGATATACTGAATTGTTTGTTTTTTAAAGCTCTATAAGAAGGTTTAGAGAAAAATTGGGAAATTTTGTGTTTTGAAGGTCAAAAGTGAGAAAAACCTATTTTTACCCCATAAAACCCCCCATAAAACCCTGTTCCCATGGTCCGATCATGCTGGATCGCAAACTCATTCAAGTTTATCCAGCCTTACACCTTTATACCAAATTTCATCAAAATCGGATAAAGATTACTCAAGTTATCGTGTTCACGGACATATATATATATATACATATATAAAAATTTGAACGAATGGTGTTTTTGGCCTCTGGGGACACCAAAATGAAAAAGTAAATCGGTCCCGGGCCTAAGTCTTACCATAAGACCTACGGTAATAGCTACTTCCCTATAGGGAAATTCGCTAAAAGCCCTTTCTTAATGTTTTTGAGATTTTATCCCTAATGCATTAACAATTTTGTACATTTTTAGACGGGTATTTCTTCGTTTGATTTCTTTTAAAAGCTTATTATAATTTCCACGCAATCATTAAAATATGTGGATTTAGCTTTAACATTTTTCTTTTTACTGTATTACACAAAACAATTTAAAATATAGAAAGACATATGTTGTGAATTTTTGATGGAACTGTAATTTTAAGACTTAGTTAGAACCTTTAAATCTGTATTAGGGCCTAAGTATATATTCACCCCTTTTATGTGTAGACGGAAAAAGTTAAATTAAAAAAAATACTTTATTTAATTTGAATTTTATGTATTTACAGAAATTTACAGAAATATAAGAATGACTTTTGAAAATACTCTATTTTGAAGCCAACAATCTGTAAATAGATTATTGATCATTTATGTGTTACAGAAAACATGGTTGGACGCCCTTAGTGACTGCAATGATCGTGGAATGAATCTGGCGACAATCGAAAATGATGATGAGTGGAACACTTTTATTGAAACCATGAGGAGTATGAGTAAGTAGCTTTTTCAAAACATTACACTCAATGGTTGCACAAACTTGACAGTAGACCAGTATCACATTATCTATGGAGTTGTTAAAATTTATTTTCTTAATTTACTGTTGTTTATTCTGAAATACGTTGACATAAGTTATTACCAGTTTAAAACCTCTGTTATGGCCTCGTGAATTCTCTGTTCAGAGATTGGACTACACGTTTATAATAAGAACACCAGGGTGTTGACCGTTCTTCTACACATACCTTAAGAAAATCCAATAGCGTTTACAAATCTGCACATCTAGCCGCGTGTTTTAATGTGTAATATTATATATGTGGTAGTAAGTCTGAAAAAATAAATGTATTGCAAAGTTTTTATGTAGTAAGACAGAAAATTAATGGATGCATGGAGAAGTCAAAACAAAGGGTAAAAGTGCCATCAGCTGAATAGGATAACAAATCCACCCATCCCCCTTCTTCACCAACAATGAAGTCGTCAGTCGTCGTTAGGCACTCAAAACGTTTATGTGAGAGAAATAGGGTAACCTTGAAAACGCCGCACGATGACACTAGTGCAGTGAAATGTCGGAAACAGACAACTTTAGTATTTCATTTTATTTCAGTATTCTTTTTTTGTGTTTGTGTGTAAAATGGAGGTATGGTGATAAGGACAGAGTTCTCTCTATTTCAACAAGGTATGTGATGCCCAAAAATAATATCTTACTAAATAATCAACTAAAAATAATATCGTTTATGTTGACAGATCCAGAAAATTATGTATATCTTGGTGGTCATGACTTGGGTGACTATCCACATTTCCTATGGATATCCACTGGAAAACAACTTTCATATACCCATTGGAGAATTGGTGAGCCAAGGGGCAATTCTTACCACTGCTTGTTAGCTAATCAACACGGATTTGTAAACGAAAATTGTTCCGCGACTCGTTATTATTTATGTGAACAAAGAAAAACCATAGCTGAGAAGCTTACTCCTATATTTAGATCATAGGCATACAATTTGATCGATAATTTTATGTATAGTTATTATTCCAAGCTGCATTTGCATTTCCTTAAGTTATGCTTCTATCTTCTAATTTATACAACCATTGTAATTAGTATTAATTTTCCAATCGAATAAAGAGAAATGTCAATCGTATAGTATAATGCATCTTTTTTAATTTCCCCCATATCCAGGATATATTTAGAAAGTATTATTTTCAACATTTTTCAGTTTTAGTTTTGCTAAATATTAGTTTGGGACCCCCAAAATTACCCCCGCAGCAGCAAACCTCCAGGCTCAGAAAATTAGTAATAAAGAGTTTTTTTTGGAATTTTCTCCATAACGTACTAAATTATACTAGTATTCTAAATTGCTTTGATGTACTAAATTATTTGTTTAATTAGGTTCTACATAATAGTTTGGAAAGAAACTGTATAAATAGAAATAATCACGAAAATAGTTGATTTATGTTCTTCCCACTGAATATGTAATTTATATTGGATAGAGAGAGTGTACAATCTCTGCTACGGGTAAAATACCGTCCCTTATCACTCTACCATCAGTGGTGACCCTCACAGCAGATGAACTAATGCCTAGTGTAATCTAAAAACCACATTTTACAACATGAAACACAGGTCTAGTATCAGTAAAGATGACTACTGTATTTCAAATTATGGTCTCTTACACAAGGACCTGGTTTATCTTTTTAATGCTTTTCGTTCTATATCATTATATAGAGTTAATCAGGTGTAATAAGTTGAGTAGATTCGTAAGGCATTTACTAGCATTGTCTATTTGATGCTTTGTGACAAAGGTACACAACCGTTTAGAAGGCGACTACGGTGGAGGTGTACGCTCACCGTTATATCTCACCCTGTGTGACGCAGTGCGGTGGTTAATTTGTCAACATTTTCCCCCAAAGTAGCCCGAGCGAATCTTCGCTCCACTTAACCAGTGCTAACTAACCACAGTTCACACCATGTGTGGTTAAAATATTACTGTTTTATTTATACAGTTACTGTTTATGATTAATTGCAAAGCTTGCTCAAATAAAATCAGTTCATGTGTTTTGAAAATAAATTTAGTTACTCACTATTCACGCTGTACAATAAATTTGATTTTTGAATCATATTTTTAATATACCGAACAAAATGCTTCACAAGACTCTGGAAAAGTAATTATAACTGGATATACGTACCATTTATAGTACTGAAGCATGTTTACCTATAGACAAGTTTTGTATAACATTGTCTATTAAATAAAGTGTCAGATACATTTTAACAAAATATGATCTTAAGGTAGTAAATACGATTGTCCTATTAATATTATAAATGAGAAAGTTTGGATGTATGTGTGTATATTTGTGACAAGTAAACGCGAAAATGTCTGGTCTGATTGGGCTGAAATTAGGGGGGATAATAGCTTACATTCCCGATTAACATATAAGCATATTGTTATCTCAATACTCCTTTCAGGCTCCCCCAGTGGCTCTGGAGTTTCCCATGTTAATCTTATGGGTATTCACATTTCAAAGGAATTAAATAATTTTGTCCGCTGATTCGACCAAACGAGTTGATACTATCATGATATTCAATAGAATTAAAAAGTTATAAGGTTTACCAACAGGGTGCAGCACTATAATATTTTTTGCAATTATGATAGGGTAACAGCTAAGAAGTAAGCAGCATCAAAACGCTGTGATACTCAATGAGAACTGTCAAGGTAGGATTGTTTACAGTAATGTTTATGTTTTCAATTTAATACATAATTTGTGATATCGTGTGAATGTTTGATAATTTACTTTTTTATATTGTTTAAAGGCAGTGGTAGAACAGAATGTCTATGGTAGATGTGTAATACTATATTGTATATACTATACTAAATCTATAATACTATAGCATACTGTAAATATAAAGAACCAAATTCTCTCAAGTCTTAAACTCCAACATTGCAAACTCAATGCTAGAGTATACCTGCAATAATTATTTCATACGTATATGACAACCCCGTACGAAGAACGGGTACTCTGCTAGTAATTTGTAAAATGAATATTCACTACAGAGAGAGATGTAGAATATTTAAAAAGCAGTTTATTGGTTTGGTCGTATCTGTTTAAATTTATTGGCCTCTGTGGTGCGTAAAACCTACGTTAGTATTTTTTTTCCAACGTAAGTTTAACCTTTGAATATTGATAACTAAATAAGATTAACAAACAACAGAATAAAACTTATCAATGCCATAAATTACCTACATGTATTTTTTATCATGACTTAGTTCTTACTGAAACTTAGTGAAAGTTATTTTCATCACTGCAAGATTCCCTAATGCTTTACAATATATGGCATCAGCTCACAGGGTAGGAGATTAATCACCTCTTGGTTCTAGGCTGAGTCAGCTACTCACACTTAATGCAGTTAACTGTTTTGTAACCAGACTTTTCTCCATAAAGTATAATGAATTCATCAATCGAACAGTCGTATATCGAATATCTCGAGGTTCCAAAAAGCAAATAAAGCACGACTTTTCACTTTTCAGGTTTATCACATTCTCTCCCTGTTGTCTGACCTTGCAGTATTGTTCAGCTGACATCATGAAATCTAATAAACCACTTGGCCGCACTTCACGCCCTTAAGTCTCTTCGACTCTTGCGTCAAAAAAGCGTTATATTGCTACATTCGCAGCACATATACACTAAAATTATTGTACTTAATAATCGATGATTTGTGAAAGCTATAATCGATTAGTGCTGTGGATTTTATTTCTTCATTACAATATGCATATCCTTTCTGCCGGTAAAATATAATATCTTGCTTTTTTGGTTACAACTCTTTACAGATTTTTTTATGTGTTATTCCTGGACCATAGACAAGTCAAAATATATTCAAACTTTCAAAAACACAAATCTACTCGTATGGCCGCCATATTGTTTTTTTTTCACAAAAACGTTATAAATTCAAGAATATTTTTTGAATGTTTATTTAAAAAATGGTGGCCGCTTAAAACATTAAAACGTAAATATCTCAAAAGCTTCATAAGAAAAAATATTCAACTGGTATATTTTTCAAAGAGAATTCAATTAAAAACCTTATGATACCAAAGTTAAGAAAGTTGGTTAATAAAAGTGAGAAATAGCTATTTACATTACAAGTGTAGTAAGAGCGTTTTTACTTCACGCAGGTGAATGTTGTGCAACGAGCGGAAGCGAGTTGCATAATTCACCTAAGTGATGTAAACACGCTCTTGCGTAACGTGTAACGTACAAGACTTTACCTGACCCGGCAATATACATGGGTTTACGTACAATATTTTTCATTATCCAATTCACTCATCTTCTATCAGTAACGTTCTTTTACTAACAAAAGCTAGGTTAGGTAGGAAAATACTTTAAAGCATAACAATAACATTCAAGCGCACAGCTGATTTCTAGCATTGAACGTCGTTGGCTCCATAGAGTTATATTTTTTAAGTTAAGCACTCAATGTTATTTAAATGGGTTTCTTTACATCACCGAGTGAGTTTTTGATACTTTACATCACTCGAGAAGTAAGGAAGTTGTATACATCACGCTTGGGATAGGGAAGTTTAACATGGCGGGTTAGGTAAACTCATTTTTACATGTGATTATGTCCATACCAACTTTAAATATGCAAAAACACTACTCAGCACGTCAATCAGCTGTTTAATGCTTATTTACACTGATCAGCTGTTTAAAACAATACATTAATAAAATATGACATTTTCCTGTCTGTTGCTTATTGTTAATCATTGTCCTGCTTTATTACTAGTGCGTTTTAAAAAGTTTAAAAAATATTATTTATGGACTAATACAGATTTTAAAATCTAGAGGATAAAAAGCGGAAGTGTGAAATTCACAAATTGCATTGATAATTGGCACTGCATAACAAGGGCGGCGGTGCTTCACTAACAAGCCTGCATGTGGTGGCATCATTTGATTGGGCATTGCCACAAAAGCCAGGTAATTGGCAGCATCGACTGTACGTATGTCATAAAAATTGTCGGGAGA